CCGGCCCGCAGGCCCCGCCCCGCGCCACCAGCCCCGCCCCCCGCGCGCACCGGGCCTGCGCGCCCGCCGAGTCGCGCCACCTCTGGCCGCCGGGCCCGCCCCTCGTAGGCGGAGCCCGGCCCGCAGGCCCCCGCCCCGCGCCAGCAGCCCCGCCCCCGCCCCCAGGCCCCGCCCCCCGCGCGCACCGGGCCTGCGCGGGCGCCGCGGCGGGACACGCCCCTCGCCCGCCGAGCTCGCGCGACCTCTGGCCGCCAGGCCCGCCCCCTCGTAGGCGGCGCCCCGGCCCGCAGGCCGCACCCCGGTCCGCAGGCCCCGCCCCGTACCAAGGCCCCTCCCCCGCACAGGTCCCGCCCCCGCACAGGCCGCGCCCCGTTCCACAGGCCGCGCCCCGTCCCATAGGCCCCGCCCCGGCCCACAGGCCCCGCCCCGGCCCACAGCCCCGCCCCTGCCCACAGGCCGACCGCGCCCTCTGCGTCCACCGAGTCTGCGCAGATGCCAGGCCCTCCCTCCAGGAAGCCCCGCCCACCCGGGCGAGACACGCCCCCTCGCCGCCGAAGTAGCGCCGACAGCAGGCCTGCCGACCTCTTCCCGCCGGCCCGCAGGCCCCGCCCCCTCCAGGAAGACCCGCCCCGGCCGCAGGCCCCGCCCCCTACGCTCCCGGCCAGTGCGTCTGCGCGGTGGCGCCTCCCCGGGCGCGTCGCGGCCGCCGCTTCCGGGCCGGTGCCCCGTGCAGGTGGCGGTGCTGGGCCGCGTCTCCCGGCGCAGTCGGCGCCCGCCGGTGCCGGTTGTTGCTGTTCTTCCTCTTCCAGGAGGGGAACCGCGTGCGCAGTCGAGCCGGGCCCTGGGCCGGGTCCGGGGGCCGCGCGCCGAGGGGTCGGCGGGGCCCGGCCTTTGAGTCACGGCCCCGGAAAGGTCTCGGCGACTTGGGATCTGGGACCCGGGTCGCAGCAGACCCCTGCTCCGGGCTCGGTGCTCGGAGGATGCACCCGGCTGCACCCCCGCCTCCGCCCCGTGCTGCCTCTCCCGCGCAGAAAGCGGAGTTTGGAGGACGAGGGTCCCCCGCGCCCCTGGTGTGTCCCCTGGGCCTGGAGCCCCTCTCGGCCTTTGTGCATAAGGACAAGGGGGGCCAGAGAGACGGGACGGCGCGGAAGGGGCTTGCTCTGGACACGGCGCACCCCAGCTGGACGCCGGCACCGCTTAGGGGTCTCTGAACGCCCCCAGAAGTGGTCCCCGGGGGGTGTTGGCCTTGCACGCGGCCGACCCGGGTTCGATGCCAGCATCCCGTAGGGCCCCCCGAGCACCGCCAGGAGCAACCCCTCTGCATGGTCGGGTGTCACCCAGAAAGCAAAAAAAAAACCAAGAAAACTGACATGATCCCTGGTCACCATCAAGTGTAGCCCCCAAATCCAAATATTGTACTGGTAGGACCAGCTGGGGAGAAAGGAGCTGTGGTTTGCCAGTGGCAGAAAAAGGATTTTCCCGCATCGTCCCTGGGGCTCACACCCCAGCTCCCACTGTCCCTTGGGAAGCCCAAAAGCAAAGGCCAGAGGGCACGGAGACCTGAGGCCCCACATGCAGAACAGAAAAGCTGAGGCAGATGACCCCGCCCCCGCCCCCCACCATGTGTGTGCCCACCCCAAGGGACACGATTTCCAGTGTCTGAGAACTGCTCAGGGCCACCTTGCGTCAGCACCAACACCTCGTGTGTTGCAGCTCTTTTGTATTTTGGGGGGCTTGTGGGGTCACGCCTGGTTAATGCCCAAGAATTGTTATTCCTGGGGCGGGTAGGGCGTTTGCCTTGCACCTGGCCGACCCAGGCTCGATTCCCAGCACCCCATAGGGTCCCCTGAGCACTGCCAGGAGTAACTCCTGAGTGCAAAGCCAGGAGGAACTCCTGTGCATCGCCGGGTGGGACCCAAAAAGAAAAAAAAAAAAGTCTTGGCCTTTGCTCTGGGAATTCTAATATACACTTTTCAGAATTAATCTCCTGTTTCTCTTAATTCTGCTTTTTTTTTGGGGGGGCTCACACCCAGCAATGCTCCAGAGGTTACTCCTGGCTTTGCCCTCAGGAATTACTCCTGGTGGTGCTCGGGGGACCCTATGGGATGCCGGGGATCGAACCCGGGTTGGCCGCGTGCAAGGCAAATGCCCCACCCACTGTACTATCACTCCGGCCCCAGTTTCTCTTAATTCTAGAAGGTACAGCGATTCTCCAAGATAGAATTGTTCCTGCTTCTTTCTGTGCTTTTAGTGTTTTTTTTTTAAATTATATTACAAATCCATAATACAGTGTTATATTATTTGATAGGATTGTCTAAAGGACCTGAGAAGATACCTACTTTCAGGTTTTTAATGATTAACCCTCTAGTTTTTTTTTTTTTAATCTTTGGACCACACCTGGCAGTACTCAGGAAATACTCCTGACCCTGTACTCTGGTTGGGGGCCATCTGGGATGCTCAGGAAGGAACTGGGGTCAGCCACGTGCAGAGGACTTTGCTCCAGCCCCTTGATGTTGTTAAAGGTTGTTATTTGGGCTGCATGTCATATTAACAAAATGTCACTCATTCAATCATTTCATTCATTCATCATCCTGTTATTCGTCGATTGCCTCTAGCAGGCCCCAGTAACGTCTCCTTCATCCTAGCCCTGAGATTATATTCAAGGCTCTTTAGGAGAATAAGACCCATCATTGTTACTGGTATTTGGCATATTGGGTACACCACAGGGAGTTTGCCAGACTCTGCCATGTGGGCAGGCTACATTCGATAGCCTGCAAGTTTGTCCAAAGTAGGAATGAGATAAAAAGATGTCCTGATAAGATGTCCAGTTCCCGGGAGCTGGATTTTATAGTCTCTTGAGTCTTGGCCATTGATGGGATTACACGGCGCCAGGGGGCCAGGTGGTGGGTGTGACCCCCGCCTACTGGAATTTGAAGGATCTGGGTGGAGGATGCTCGGCCCCAATCCAAGTAGGCTTGGAGATCTCGGCCCCGGAACCCGCGTGGATTTGTCCCTCTGCCAGTACCTTCATGTGTGCGGAGAGTGGTCTCAGCATGGTGGTGGCTGGTCCTGGAGGTCTTCGGCTGCCGGAGCCCTGGTCGGGGCGGGGAGGAAAGCTCAACCCGCTCCCCTCCAAGGGACTCCGGGAAGGAACACCCAGGCGCGGGGGCAGAGACTGCACTGTTCTCGTCCGGGATCTGGATTTTATAGTCTCTGAGTCTTGGCCGCTGATGGGATTACACGGCGCCAGGGGGCCAGGTGGTGGGTGTGACCCCCGCCTACTGGAATTTGGAGGATCTGAGTGGAAGATGCTCGGCTCCAATTCGAGTAGGCTTGGAGGTCTCGGCCCCGGAACCCGCGTGGCTGTGTCCCTCTGCCAGTACCTTTAGGTGTGCGGAGAGTGGTCTCAGCATGGTGGTGGCTGGTCCTGGAGGTCTTCGGCTGCCGTAGCCCTGGTCGGGGCGGGGAGGAAAGCTCAACCCGCTCCCCTCCAAGGGACCCCAGCGAGGAACAGCCAGGCGCAGGGGCAGGAGACTGACTGCACTGGTCTCGTCCGGGAGCTGGATTTTATAAAATCCAGACTATAAAATCCAACAAAATGTCATAGTAACCAAAATACTGATGGTCAAAAGCCACCAGTTTCCCATTTGCTGAGGACTGCTGGGACATTTCTATAAGACACCTTCCCATTGTACACAACCAGGGTTCAAAGGGCTTCTGTTGCTTATCTCAGCATCCCAAGCTTCAGGGAAAGGCGGGAACCCAGGCTGGACCCATAAACGGGTGGTTCCTCTTCCCTATCCAGACATCTGGCATGCGGGAGACGCAGATTCTGTTTGAACACCACCTGGACCTACCTCCCTGCAGCAAGACTGGGGGGGTGGCCAGAGAGCCAAGCAGGTGTGTCACACCCCCACTCCCGAAACTCTAACTCACTTTCAGAATCCACCAGCTGCGTGCCCCCTGCTTGCTCTTCAAGGACAAGGTCGGTCATAATTCGTTCACATCAACTAGTTTTTTTTTTTTTTCCATGTCTGGTGCTCAGGGCCGACTCTCCTTGCTTTCTGCTCCATGCCTCCAACAAGGGTGACAGAGCCCTGGATAGGACAGTGCAGCAGGCACTTGACTGCACACGGCCAACCCAGGTTTAATCCCTGAGCACCAGCCTGGAGTAAGTCCTGAGCACTGCTGGGTGTGGCGGCCAAAAAAAAAAATTGGAACGTCCGAAGAAATCCTGTAACCACACAGTTCCCCGGGTCCTCTCGTCTTGGAAAGGGAACAAGCCCCGAAGCCTTGCTTTCACCTCAGCTCTTCTGCCTGGAACTTTGAGGACAAAGTACATGTGCCATAAAGTCCAGGGCAGAGACAGAAAGGGACAAGCATCCGGCACAGCACTGCCCTGTGGTTGACGCCACAGTGGGGTGACAGGTGTCGACCGAGAGACACTCCCAAGCCCTTTCCCACGCAAGAGGCGAGTCTCCTAGACGCCTCTCAGGGTCCGGGGTTGTGGGGGAACTAACGCTCATGTCTCCCTCCCCGCCTCCTTGATCCTCTGACTTGGTGCCGCTGGTCAAGAAGTGACCCTGAGGGTCCATCACCGCCATCCCCCCACCCCAGGGCACCTGCTCTGGCTCCCGGCCTGAATGTCCCTAGAGCCCCTGCTTTGGCTGTACTTTCGCTACCGTTGGCAACTGTGGGCCACGACCTGCTAGGGAGCAGCGTGACTGGAAGCGGAGGAGGGGTCCCCCCAAAAGCCTAGCCAGTGAGTCGTTCCTGAAAGTGCAGCCATCAAAACTCCAACACCGGAGCTGACTCTGAGCCCGACGGGTTTCTGGTGGCGGTCGCAGTGCTGTGTTCCTGGGACTCAGAGCGCCCGAGCAGGAACGGATTGACCAGCCCAACCTGCTGCCGAAATCCAAGTGTTTTCCAGAGCATCCGCACCTCAGGATCCTAGTTCCCAGTTTCTGCGATGGAAACAACCACACCCCACGATTAAGACATCTCTATATAAAATCTTTATTATGGGCGATATTGGTCCAGACACTACACAATACCAACAGTACAAGTTGAATCTTTCAAAATCATCGTGGAAACAGCAAAAAGACCAAGAAATAAAATTGTTTTTTGAGTCAAACATTATTTTTTCCCCCCAAAATCTCAATGCACATTATCCTCGGTTCCCTTATTATAGTGAAACATACAAATACAGAAAAATACCCCCATTTAACATATACTACTGTTAAATGGTTATTTGGCTTAAAATCTGAGTTAAGAAAAAATCCTTTTCGGCAACCTACATAGAGATAAGTAGCAAACTTTATTATTAAAGTAAACAACTTCGTTCCGTTTACAACAGGTGAAGAATTTCATCCATCATGGGTTCTGATCTGAGCACAAGTGTCTGTTGTCGTCACCCCGGGTCTCGTCCGAGGGACCAACTCGCAGTCATCCCAGGGATCAATGACCCCCGCCTCTCCCCCCCACACACGTCATCCCGGAGTCTTCAACAGAGGGCAGTGGGCGGCGGCCACCGTCGGGGGATGCGGGGGCCTGTGGCAGCCCTGTTCAACAGCCACGTTCCTACCTACTGGGGGGTCCCTGCTCAGGAGGGTCGGGGCGTGCCAATGCGAGCGAGAGACCCACAGCGACTCGGCTCCAGGCCTGACAACACGTTCAATTTCTCTGGTTGAAGCTCTGATTAGGTTACGCGCATGAAAGCCGGCATATTAGTTTAAGTCTTTAAACAAAAAACTATATTTTCCAAAATCATTATCGTTTGGGGCAATTAAGTGATCTTTTCTGGCTTTGTTCAGCTTCATCTTCAGGGCGTCTCTTCTCTCCTCCCACTCGCGAAGCTCCGCGTGTCCGTGGGCGAACTTACAGCTGCTGCCTTCCGGGCAGGTCCCGCTGGCAAACCTGGAGGACGGGCGAGGGGAGCGGCAAGGGGGTGACCAGCGGCTTTTAACCCCAAACACACTTCGCTGACTTTTCCGTTTGCAGACAACTTCCCGGGGAGGACCTCACGCACAGAAAACGGAATCTCGGAGCTGGGCCAAGAGCGGGCGCAATGGGTAGGCGTGTGTCTTGCCTACACGACCGACCCGGGTGCGATTCCCAGCACCGCCAGGAATAATTCGTGAGTGCGGAGGCAGAAGTGACCTCTGTGCACCGCCAGGTGTGACCCAAAAAAGCAAAAAAAGAAAACGGAATCTGGGAGCCAGAGCAATAGGACAGCGGGGAAGGTGCTTGCCTTGCATGCAGCTGGCCCGAGTTCAATCCCCGGCAGGTCCCCTGAGCCCACCAGGAGTGACCAATGAGCACAGAGCCAGGAGTAAGCCTGGAACACAGTCAGGGATGCCCCAAAAAAACAAAGATTAAAAAAAAAAGGCAATCGATTGCCACCAGGAGAAGCAGAGAGCAGAGAGGTGTGTGCTGAACAGAATGGACGCATGGATGTGGAAGGAAAGCCCTAGCCCTTCGGGGAGTCAAAGATGGGAAGTGACAGAGAAGACGGGAACATCTTCCAGCGTCTGCGTGCTCACGGGGCTCTAACTGGGGCCAGGAAAACAGCAATGCCTTAGTGAGCATGCCGCAATGAGCGCGTTACCTCGCCCTTCAAGGAAACCCAGCCGCGACACCAAGGCCGGACTGGCCCCGGACACGAATGTCTTATGCCCAGGAAGCCTGCGGGCAGGAGCAGGGGCCCGGGGCGGAGGCGGCACAAGATGCCAGGCTGAGCCCTGAGCTGTCGACCTCTGGGGCTGCCCAGAACCGAGCCAGCGCACAGGCTGGACCCGCCCCCGCCCCCACCCCCAGACACCAGCCGTACCTGTCGCAGACGCTGAAGCAGCCAGTGGGGAAGCGGTGCTGCCAGCAGTACTGGTCGTCCTCAGTGTGGAAGACCTTCTCCTTGTGCTTCTCCGAGGAGATGTGGCCCTGCCACTGCTTCTCACTGTTGCAGTTCTTCCCGCACATCCAGCAGTGGAAATCCACCTGTGGGCGCAGGACGGGCCGGCTGGTCACTGCCGGGGACACTGGGGCTATGGGAAATCCCCCATGTGGTCTCTCTGGCCCGGGCCCAAGGACACGGAAGCTCCCGGTAGGAGCAGGGTACTGTGTGCCCAGAGAAGGAAGCCGATTCAACCAGGACCTGGTGTGCAAACACGGATGTTTGCTGGGACGTGGGGCCAAGTGTGTGCCGGGGGCGGGGGGGGGGGGGGGCGGCAGCAGAGAGGCCAGCAGGGCCCAGGTCATGGCCTGGGAACCGCGCCCACACTTGGTGGGGGACGTCCAGGGTGCACAGATGTTGGACACGGTCTGGATGGGCCCAGGGAACGCAGCAGAGAACGTAGCACGGCAGGGTGGCCCTGCTCCCAAAAGCTGGGGAACACGCAGGAGTAGGTGGCAGGGTCTGGCACAGCCAGGCCAGGAGTAGCAGCAGATCCCCAGGCCCAGAGGAGTCAAAGGGCTGGCCAAGAAGGGAACAGCGGGGGAACTGGAGCAATGGAACTGTGGGCAGGGCGTTGGCCTGGCACGTGGCCGACCCGGGTTCGATTCCCAGCATCCCATAGGGTCCCCCGAGCACCGCCAGGAGTGATTCCTGAGTGCAGAGCCAGGAGGGACCCCTGAGCATCGCCGGGTGTGACCCAAAAAGCAAAAAAAAAAAAAAAGGGAAAAAAAGAAGTGAGCAGTGGAATAATGCTCCGCTGTCCCACAGGAGCGGAGATCAGGGAGGAACGTCACCATTGGGTGCACGGGACCTGGGAAAGCGGCCGCCGGCTCCGGTTCCTCCAGAGAGAGACAGGCGGGGCCTTAACTTGAGGCCTTCAAATTCAATCCATTTATTTATTTATTTATTTTGCTTTCTGGGTCGCACCCAGCGATGCGCAGGGGCTACTCCTGGCTCATGCACTCAGGAATCACTCCTGGCGGTGCTCAGGGGACCATATGGGATGCTGGGAATCGAACCCGGGTCGGCCATGTTGGCTGCGTGCAAGGCAAACGCCCTCCCCGCTGTGCTATCGCTCCAGCCCCAAATTCAATCAGTTTAATCGATGACTAAATAAATAGCAGTGTTCCTACATTATTTAAAAAAAGAAAACCAACTTGAGGGCTTTTTATTTCTGTGGGGGGTACACTGGGGTCACATCCAGAGGCCCACTTGGGCTGACTCCTGGCTCTGCGCTCAGGGGTCACTCCTGGCGGGATGAATGACCAATGAAAGGCCACAGGAGTCTGAGGCCGAGGCCAGACTGCAGGAGCAGAGGAGGGGGCCGCAGGGGAGCCCGTTTCCGAGCATCTCTCTTGGGTGATTCGGGCGCCGGAAGAGACTGGGGGTGGGTGTCCTGGGGCCACCCGCGGTACTCACAGTGACCTCGGCGTAGTCCGTGGGCATATGGATCTGTTTGCCGTTCTCCTTGACAGACTGACTGGCCACGTCATCGCTTCTTTCATTTTTTTGACTCTTCAGCCAGAGTTCATAAAATTGTTCCATATCTTGTACTGAGGGGCAACAAGTCACTTTTAGCAGCGGCAACTAAATGTCACTGAAACATCCCCCAAGATGGTGCAGAGGACACAGGGACAGGGACAGCACGGCGGGCAGGGCGTTTGCCTTGCACACGGCTGACCCGGGTTCGATTCCCAGCATCCCATCATCCCATAGGGTCCCCCGAGCACTGCCAGGAGTAATTCCTGAGTGCAGAGCCAGGAATAATCCCTGTGCATTGCCGGGTGTGACCCAAAGAGCAAAAATAAAATAAAATAAAAAAAAGAGGACACGGGGACAAAGTGTCCACAGAGGCGTGCCTGCAGGGTGGGGGTGGGGGCAGTGCCCGACGTCTGGGTGTCCAAGGGTGACGCCCCACAGCAGGAGCGGCCAGTCGGGCGGGAAACGCACCCGGGCACCGGCTCTCTACCAGCTCCAACCCGTGCCCCCAGCACTGACTTACTCCCGTTCTCCTTCATGTAAGTCCACACCTCTCGCTCCTCGGGGCTGTGGGCGAAGGAGCAGTTGCCAACATACTGGCACTTCCTCCCTGAAGCGATGTGGTTGCAGAGCTGTGGAGAGAAGGGGGGGGGGAGTGTGGGCGGGGGGTGGGCGGCCGCCACCTCCACCCCCCCACGCGCCCGCAGAACCGTCCTAACGCTGCGTGAGAGCCCAACCCCGGCGCCCGGGTCTCCCGAGCTGGTGGGGGCTTCCGTTCCGACCCACCCGGGTCCCCGTGAGCCTGCCCACGCCCTAGGGAGCGCAAGATTGGAACAGGGCACGTGTTCACTCAGGAGGGCCAGTGTGGTGCTCCCCGGAGGACCCCCCCGGGGACTCTGCAATTCTCCTGGCTTCGGCTGATCGTGGCGACTCCCCAGGGCCAGGGGTCTCCCGTCTGCACCTTCCTCAGGCAGCCGAGATGCCACCGACCAAAGCCAACACACACGGCACAAGTGCACCCGGGGGCTGCCTGAGGAAATCTCGCCCCAGCAACTGCTCCCCTGGCCGGAGCCGCCAGTGACAGCAGGGTGTTCCGCCGACACCCTGCCCCTCCAGCCCAGCCCACACTGTCCGGTCGCTCGGGGTCCCTGGCACCCAGCGCAAGTCGGACCTACAGGCTCGCAAACACCGTCAGCTGGCCGGCTTCTGTGTTCAAACCCTCAACTATCAGCAATGCAAGCGACACGCGTCCTCTCTTTCATCAACTCCAATGCCTCGAGGGGGTGGCCAGTGGAGTACGCTGGCCCCCGGGCTGGAGAGACTGGGGGGCGGGCCCCCCACACCGAGCCAGGGGAAGCCAGCCCTGAGCACCTCCAGCCCAGACTCACACACAAAGAGAAAACGAAGAGGCTTGAGAACTCACTGGACTCTTTGGGGGGGGGGGGGTACATACCACACCACGTGGTGGTCAGAGACTGCTCCTGGCAGTGCTCAAGGGGCCGTGTGGCCCCAGCGATGTACCCCTGTGCCCCCTCGGGGCCTCAACCTGACTCTGCACCTCCCCCAAAGCCCAGCGAGGAGCTGGGGCAGCGTTTAACACCCTCGCTCAGAGCTCCAGGAGGGGAGGGCTTCCCACCCATGGCACCGCCCCACCCAGCGTCCCGAGGGCACAGAACCGTGCCCATTCCCAGATGAACAGACTGAGGTGGGCAGCGGCCGGGGCCTGCTCGCCTCCCGTCCACGCACAGAGGACTGTGTGGGGCCGAGAACGAGGGGCTCGGCAGCAAACAAGAGGGACAGGCCTCGGGGGTAGCGTCCAGCAGCAAGCCGTGTGCGGATTCCAGAACGATCCAGGGAGCCGCACGGGAACCTCATCTGCTCTCAACGTCCGTGGTGAGCGGGGACCGAGCACACAGCCGGGGTCTCTGCAAGCGCGTGATGGGACAGTTCCCAGCCACCGTCCCCGTCCTGTGCACGTGGACGCTCAGCAGGGTCCTTCGCTGAGGTCCATCTGCTTCTCGGGCAAAGTGTTCCCACGCACGGCTCCCCACAGGGGCTCCTGGTCATCCCTTTCTCCTGATTTTGTCTTTGGGGGGAGGGGAGGTTCAGGGTCACACCTGGCAGGAGTTCGTGGGATCATATGGGGTGCCAGGGATCGAACCTGGTTCACGGCAAGCACCCTTGCTGGACCACTGCTCCAGCCCCACTGTTCACGCCCTCAAGAGCACTAGATGGGGGGCTGGAGCAGTAATACAAGGGCATTTGCCTTGTACGCGGCCAACCCTGGTTCAATTCCCAGCATCCCATATGGCCCCCCAAACATCGTCAGGAGTAATTCCTGAGTGCAGAGGCAGGAGGAACCCCTGTGCATCGCCGGGTGTGACTCAAAAAAAGCAAAAAAAAAAAAAAAAAAAGTGCCAGATGCCACTGTCCGAAAGGCACGCAGTGAAAATGGCCCCTTCCCCTGGGACGGGGAGCCCAGAGCCAGCCCGAGCGCCCATGTGGACAGTCACCCACCACACGGGAGGGCCCGAGGAGTGGAGAGGAAACGATCCCCACGGAACAGGGACGCTGCCGTCTCGGCAACTTGGTCTGGGACACACATTGTGGGAGATCTGGGAGGAACAAGTTCCTTCAACATGGGGCCGCCAGGGCACTGTTACAAAGCCCCTCGCGTTGTTCTTACGACTATTATTAGTGTTATTGGTTTGGTTTGGCTTTGGGGCCGCACCCGATGGTGCTCAGGACATACTCCTGGCTCTGCACTCAGGGATCTCTCCTGGCAATGCTCAGGGGACCATGTGGAGCGCCAGAGATCGAACCCGGGTCGGCCACATGGAAGGCAAGCACCCTGTCTGCTTTACTACCGCTCCAGTCCCTCGCAATGCTGTTCTCGTGCATTTTAAAACTTGATCTGCTTCATCTGCTTGTTTATTTGCGGGGGAAGCATGCTGGCAATGCTCGGGCATTGCTCCAGGCAATTCTGGGGGGTAGGGGGCATGTGTCATGTGTCTCAAGGATGGAACCCAGGCCTCCTGCACTTAAGGCATGTTCTCAGCCAACTGTGTCATCTCTCTGGCCCCTTTTTTCTGGCTTTGGGGTACACCCAGTAGTGCTCTATGCTTGGGGGGCAGGAGGCAGGGGTGGGGAGGTGACTTCCACCAGTGCTCAGGAACCTATTAGCATCGGTGATGGGGGCCAAGCCCGCTCTCCTGTCAAGAACGTGCCAAGTTGGGGGCCCGTCAGCGGGTCTCCCTGGTGTTGGTCCTGGGCGTGCCCACAAGAAGCCAACAACACACGCCTGACCAAACCAGGATCGACGGCCAAGGCCAAGATAGCAAATTCGCTCAAACTCTGTCCCAGGCCTTCCCCAAAGTTAACACATCTTTGGGAAACAAAGAAAAATCAGTGCAGGAAAGTCACATCATGCCCAGAGCTACGTCTCGACTTTACTTCTCAACCGTGCACTTGTTTTTGCCGAGAAACTCAGATAGCCCCGACCCCTCTGACCGGTGTCCCGGAGCCACGTGCGTTGGGGGAAGGACGCGAGCAGACGGGAGTGACCGCACACCGCGACGGGCCTGAGCCTACAGCTGAATCACCACCACTGGCTACTGATGCCAAAGGCCTAATATTTTTTTTCTAAAAAAAAAAAACAAAAAAAGTGGCTTAAAAATTACGTATGTACATCAAACTGTAAAGGCATTTGTTTCTTTGTGGGGAGAGGACGGATGTTCATCCACTTCTTACGTTCAAAAGACATCACTCGCAAGGCACGTCGGTCTTTGATCCACCTAAGGAAAAGGGAGTTCAGAGGAGACAGATACACAGACGAGAGGCGTCACGCGAGGCCCGGGGACAGGGCCTGTCCCTCCAGGACCAGGGAGCTTCCCCCTTGGCCCTCCTCGGGGAAACGGCTCGTGCTTCCGTCACTCCCCTTCCCGTGGACCACGGACACAAACACGCCCCACGACGCTAATCGGAGACGGGCGGCCAATTCTCAGGGACCCAAATGCTGAGATCCGTTCCACGTCTGCGTCACTGAAGGCTCCACAATTACCTATTCCCCTCTGCTCTCTTCAAAGTCTTGGTCTTTGTCCTTACTGGGAGGGTTTCGTGCCCGTGAGCCAGGTACCCAGGTGACAGGGACTGAATTCTACCCCCCGCCCCCACCATGCACAGACACACGAGCCCACACGCACACACACATACTTACGAATGCCTGGCTTTTGCACTACAATATTTTCTGTTTTTGTCTGGTTCAATGACTTGACCATTTCTCAGACACTGAGCACACACAAATTTTATCTTCATGTTGAGAGATCCAGGCATTACTTGATTGCCAAGAACCTTGGACAATTAAAAGACCAGTTTCACTTTAGCAGAAAATCAGTTTTGAAAGAACCAAAGGCTGAATTCCCATGCTTTCACTTAGAGAAAAATACAAATCAGGCTTTGGCCTAACCCCACATCTCTCTCTCTCTCACACACACACACACACACACACACACACACACGTAAGTCTGTATCTATAGCCACACGTTTAGATCCACATACTCAATTGTCTACCCCAATGAGAATAAGATGAAAGCAGACGACACCAAACCTAACAGAAACTTAACAGCTTTGGTTTCTGTTTTTTGGTTTTGGGGTGATACCTGGCAAAGCTCAGGGTTACTCCTGGCTCTGAGCTCAGGGATCCCCACAAGATGCTGGGGATCGAACCCAGGTTGGCACATGCGGGGCAAGTGCCTTAACCCCCATACCATCTCTCGAGCCCCTGGAGGCCCAATTTTTTTAAATGACAATCAACAAAAATGTCGTTCTTCACCCCCACCCCCCACCCCCCACAGCATCACTCAGCTCAGAAAGTGGGACAGTCACCAGACCCCCAGCGCCAACTCCCTCTGCCAGCAACTAACCGCACTTTAGGCCACTCAGGCCATTCCAGAGAGTGTGCAGGAGAGCGTACCTGAGCCCCGGGGACGTGTGTCTCCATCTTTTGCCAATACCGTTTCGATTCCTGGGCGATGGCGTCGTGCGAGATCCCTGCGGAAGGAACGTGTCTCCGCTCAGCTCTGAGCTGGGTCTCCCAGCCCTGCGCCCGCCTGACACGCGGATTTCCCTCCTGCCTGTGGCCGCCTGCCCCCTCATCCTACCGGCTGGTCCCTGAGTCTTATGCCGGGGACCCCCCGCTGATGCTCGCCTCTGGTCCTCTTGGAATATCCTGGGGGTTCCCAGGGGACCACGTGGCCCCTGGCTGGGAACTCTGCTGCTCTCGATGGCACAGTGAGACCCTCGCCTCACCGGCCCAGCCTCCCTCCTCCCAGCTACCTGACTCATTCCTAAGGAGCCAACGCCCATGTCGAGTTCAGAACGGAGCCTGGTTGGGGTCGGAGCGATAGCACAGCGGGTAGGGCGTTTGCCTTGCACGCGGCCGACCCAGGTTCGATTCCCAGCATCCCATAGGGTCCCCTGAGCACCGCTAGGACTGATTCCTGAGTGCAGAGCCAGGAGTAAAC